TCTTAGACTCAGGTCGTGTTTTCTGATTTAAGACAACAATGACGTCGTGTTATATCCTTGAATCTCAAAGGACGAGTATATCAGGCTACAGTGCGGACTGTTCTGGTGTGACTTTGAGACATCGCCTCTGCGAGAAGCGTAACTGAGACGTCTTCAGGGGTTCGAGAGCCGTTGTGTCAGAACCAAAGCTCATGTGGACTGGTGTCAGCGAATCCGCAACTAGGTACTTAAAAAATGAGTATTCGGTAGCGGAACCGGGACTCCAGTCGAAGAACGTGTCCAGCCCCAAAAGCTGCGGTGTTCAGGCAATGTATTGCGGATGGCGAATTCTAGTTTGTCCAGAAGAGTAGTTTTCGCAGACTTCCTGGCTTGCATTGCTAGGTACGCGTGATCAGAAGGACAGAACGGCCATGTGATTCGAATGCGCCTTGTGAATACAGGAATACTAAAAATGCGGATGGTTTATTGCTGTACAACCGCGTTAATTTCTCTCGGGAAGGCTCTGGTGTACAAAAATAGGGTAGGAATTGTCTAACCTTACTTTACCACGAACTTGAGCTTTTCCACGGCCTCAGATGATCTAGGGAAACTGTTCCTTTCTGCTCACTCCCCTATCTTGTAAGGTCCCCAACCAAGCACAGTAAAGGTCACGTGTATCCTTTTGCGGAAGGTGGGTAGCGCCCACAGCCCAAGACATTTCGTAAGGTTACTCACTTCCCCAGATCATTTTTTTTATTAGCCGCCCATAAACCAGCTGCTACGGTTTTGGTCAACCAAGAAATGAGAGGTCACGGCAGGTGTAGCCAGTCCTTGGATATGACGGCTCACTCAGATAATTGAAATTGAATCATTCTAGTTGTTTTTATTCAATCCCACCAACCCACTTAGTGCCCACGCCTTATTTCATCCCAAGCTGCCGCAAGGTAACGGCGTACGTAACACGTGACCAAGCTAGTTTTGTAATGATCCTGCGGGCTAAACTTGTTGGAACTTTGTTCTTCAAGCTTCAGCCATGCGAGGAAGAACAACCATAGAGTGAACGGTTTCCCATAATACAAGTAATCGTATCACGAAGAGGCCTGTAGCCAGCGATGCTGACCTCTGAAGAAATACCGACTAGATAAGACCGTTCCTAAAAACCTCACGTTCTGGTCACTCAACGGTTTACGTGGCAAACGGATCACTAGTAATATGAGTAACCCTTCAGTCGAAGCACCCTTCCGGCAGTGAAGCATCAGTGCCAGCACTGATGTTGCTGTCTTTGATGAAGATGACCCTTCCGGTGACTAGCTTTTAGGCTGTCCGAGGGAAGCACGAGATAGTGTCAGAATGCCGAAGCCTAGACGCGAACAGTGACACTCCACTGCGATTTGAATATTTAGCTGAGAAGAATCGATGAGCATGGGAATGGTCCAGGCGGGATATGTTGCGTATATGCTTTCAGAACGGGTAGCGATGATCACTTTCTACAAATGTGACGATGACCATCTATTTGTCATGAGTATCGCGTTACCTGGTGACCTTTTAACGACAACCCCAACAACAATTTGAAGCGATATCGATGCCAGCATAGGCAGTTGCAGCGGCTTATGGATTCTGCGCAAAAGAGAAAAAATCGTCCGGCGGTAGCGTCCTTTCCATGTCTAACTGTCAGGTTGCCCGAGCCTAGATCGGGAGGTCGGGTTCGAAACACGGACATTCCGGTCAGTAAATTCACGTTCTAACCACACAGCATTCCGGTCATTCACGTTCTAACCACACAGTATAAAGCGGAAAAAACAATGGGAGCTGGCTAACTCGACGATTATATTAGGTTATTGAATCGCAGTTTCGGAACACTAGCACATGCCGATGGAGATCAAGTCCATCATAAAAACCGGGTAGTCTGTTATCCTGTTTACTTCAGAATGCGAACAATAAAGAGCACCAGACAAACTGGATATCGGAATTTTAAGACTGCTTTCTTGGTGCTTATGGTCGCTAACCTGCGCATGAATGTGCCGGCTAACGGGGACGCTAGGTGAACTGAGCCACTAACTCTTTCAGGTAGACCATTGAGCATATTAGGGTGACGCGGAGGGAAAGACCAGATATGAGGAGGGCTAAGAGGGGATAGATGAACAGCGTCCCGTTTTCATTCACTCACCTCACTGTATGCACTGACTAACGTAACACCACACAATCTTCAAGCAGAACCTCTCGTTATTTTCCTGACGATGGAGACTCCGATCCTCATCCGGAGACCTCCCGGTGTAGCCGATGTGGTCGCAAAAGTGCACGCATCACCTCACTACGGTAAGGCCAGATCTATACTTGACGAGACGAAGTAGCAATAACGATGGTAGCCTGGGTGGCTGTGTCGATTAGCGATTGTCCACACCATCTCAGCGGCTAGAGTGCGTTGCTGGTTGCAGGATTATATTGGTTAAGTATGGGGTTTCCGTGTAGCCTATCGGTGCCAGAGCATTTTGACTACTGGTCTTCTTAGAAAGGCTTTCAAATCTGCGTGTTAGTTTAGTGGCTCATCCATGGACTAGTAAAATCAAGTTACCATCAAGCATTGGTTATGCATTTCAGACTTATGTTATACCAGTGAATTTTCTTCAGATAGTGCCCATGCGGTCGACAAAAGTCGTTCTCTCGTAGAGTTCTCTTATTCATGGGGAATTTTAGAACCCTCACTGTAACTTCTCGCTTTCGTTTAATAGAAAATAAATGTTAGCTCTTCACCCTACTTCTAATTTTTATCGAACGGCTTCAGCCTACCATAATAAATCAGGTACTGAAATTAACAAGAAGATATTGATTACTGCTGCATTGATGAGGATATATTGATGTGGGATATTTCATCCTTACTGTCCATTTTCACGCACCCATGACCGTGCTGGACAGGTTAAGTCGGTGGCTCTATGCAAACCTGATACGTGCTGCACTCCAGATGTACCATAGTGGCCTTTATACTCACATTACGCGGTGATTGTGGAAAAGTGCCGATATTTCATTCTAGGCCTTCAACCTGCTAATTGACGAGGAGCATCACTTGCGCAATGACTCATATCATGTGAGTACACCGGGTAACGTTACAAGGGTGAAACTACGGGTGTTCGCTCGGTACCGGTGTAACGGTGATATTACTGGTGGGGAGGCACGCGAGTAGTATGTGTTGCTCGTAGAATTTCGCTTCGCGTCGATTGAAAAAGGGAATTCTGTTGCGGAATTCGCGGGGCCACTTTGTAACATTTGCTTGGATTTGACCGACGAATGATTGGAGTCAATGAATCTCCAGGAAGACTCGTTCGGTAGAAGATCTGTGTCCAGTTTTTGTAACTAAGATGCAGATTAGAGTTTTGCTTCCCTGTTCAGTGGTCTGTAACCGGTCAGTTGGCATTTCCGGATAAGTAACTCCGCAGCGAAGGCCTTCTTCCGATATTTGATTCTAGGCCTTCAACCTGCTGATTGACGAGGGGCATCACTTGCGCAATGACTCATATTATGTGAGTATCCGGGGTAACATTACAAGTTTGAAACTACGGGTGTTCGCTCGGTACCGGTATCCAAGTCACCTGAAATATGGGTGCTGTCGTGATTTTGTGTGGCTGGTTTCTGCGTAAAACATTCGACCGGCGCTGGATTGTGTAAAACCAGGTCATATGTTAGTGTCCTCTTGATCTATCTGAAACTCATTTCATACTTTGGAGTTGTCGTCATAACCACATAGGCAAAAGTGGAGAGCTGTTTTATTTTCTTCACTGATGTTGGTCGTGTTTGAACAATTCTGATAACCAGAGCATCCAATGGTAAACTAATTTCGATCGAGTGTCCTGTCGCGTGAGGGATATCCTGTGGGAGATATTCCGTAGCAAAATGGGATTGAGGGAGGTCATCCCTTTTGTGAGGGTTTATCTCATGGATTCATGCACCGCATCATCCCTAACACTGAACGGTGCCTGATAAGCGCATGAAATAAAGTTGAGTAAGACGCTTGCCGGGGAATATGGGCTGGTCTGTGCATCACTAAGGTCGAACGAGCATATCATAATACGGCCCTTGCCATAATTGACAAGCTTTTGGCGGCTTTTGGAGAGGAGAGAGTGATAGTAGGACAGTGTAAGTTGATGGCCAGGAATCTCAAAATAACCAATGGATCCCTGCTGTTTGCGGAAAGTGGTTCATCACGGCCAGTCTGTTTACTGATTATCGGATGATGGCTACCACCATCTTTGATGCCACTGAAGTGTATAGTGTGATGACTAAACGTTCTACGACAGGTTGGGATGCATTATAAAACCAATTTTGAAGTGAAAAGCTTCACGAGGATACTGAGACAGGGCACCTCCACGTTAATTTTGTCACCCATTGCTATGCTGTCATTCAAACCTGGTGTTCGGCAGGACTTTCGTTTACTCAATGGGATTGAATGGACGAAAGAGGAGCGGCTTACCCTACGTTGATGGGTGGTGAGACCAAGTGCCTCCATGGAATTTTCGTCCCGTGACTGCCCACGATTTACGGTTAAAATATACGCCCGCACCAATTGAGATCCGGTTTATTTTACATTAACAAATCCTGAGTTTTGCCTTGCAAACGAATTGTCCCACATCTGACCTTGTTTTGACGATCTGGACCCTTATTTGCGGCCTTAGGTTAAATGTAAAGAAGCTAAGGCGAATGAAAGGAGCCTGCTGGCAGGTTTTCGCACAGTGTGGCCCAGCAAGCGAATTTGTCCCCGCGGTGGTTCCGACTGGGTGCTTCTGAGAGAACTCTCTATTTCACTTTTGGTGACCGCCTAGTATCTCAGGCTCCAAGTTACTCACGAGCCGTTATTCTTCGTGCTCAATCTTCATTTCGCCATATGCACAGCTCTATCCCTCAACTGCTACTATGCGCCAAGGACGGCAGGCAACAACTAACAGAAACGGAAGACAACTCGTTCGTCAACCAATGGGCGACCACGTCATTCTCTACAGATTTCTCTCTCTGGTGCTTAACAATTGATTTGCGTTAGACTTTGTTTCTTACCGCTACATAGCTTTTTCATTTTGAAATACAGTGAAAACAAAGGGAAAAGTAAAATCACATTTTTATGGCTAAATCTCCTATGAATTTCTATCCGTAATAAAAAAGGCAATAAGCAAAGAAAGACCCGACGGAACTTGCACCCACAGACTGAGTCCAACACGATGTGGTCCTTTTCAGAGAAGAAAACGGCTTTACAGGGAATCACCTAGTGAAATCAGTGGGGCATAATACAAAACAAGGATACAAGTAGAGCAGTTTGCATGATTGATCAGCGGTGTCGTGCAAATGCGTAAAACGTGTGCATATAAAGGTAGTATAGAAGAATGATCGCATATCCAGAGGACGAGAAAACGACACCACCGGATTAGGAGACATGAAAAGTGAGGCGTTAACTTCCACAATTCGGGCCTTCATCCTGTACACCGTTGTGCGATGAAGTTAATTTTCACTCACAGACACGATGGAACTTGGTTTGCTTGGACAGGTGTTCACTCAACTTTTGGAACTTGCTCACATAATCGTTCAGACCTTGTGTCAATACATCGCTTTCAGCCTCTAGCTTCTTCAGATTATCCGTTATACCTTCAATATAAATAGGGGGATAAAAAGTAGTATAACTGGAGGGAGTAACTGGCATATTATTCCGACCTTTATAAAAATGAGTATTAGTTTACGCTAGAGTTGGTAGCCTACAAGTTGTGACGTTATCTATAAAGTTTGAGACAATTAAGTAGCAAGTCTTTCCGTGAACGTCCCCTGCCCCCGATGTATGGGGACACCATTCCTGGGTCCTTTACTACCCGCAAACAACGCAATCAGAAGCGAGTTCCAGGTTTGCTTTCAAAACTACAAGTGATTTGATATCCATTCTGAAAAGCATGGTCCACTGGGCCCCATAATTTAGAGTGTCCTCAATTTTCCAATAATGTTCACTACCTGTTCAAAAATAACCGTGTATAGTGAGGCCTGTAGAATCCGAGTAGCGAGTAGCGAACAAAAGCAAGTATAAATTAAAATCTGTTGGATAGGTTTATACTAAATGTTTTGTTTGCTTCGCACGCTGACTCAGGTGTTTCAATGTGCTTCGCGGATACGCTCACCATGGCTTGACTATCTCAACAGTCTTAATGAACTCAACTTACAAAGGCTTCAGAAATCAATACCAAGCCCACATTACGACTTGTCTGTGCTTACGCCAAACTCGTTTAAAATTGGCGGCCTGATCTAAGGATTCGATTCTCCAGTGATAAATGGAAGTTGAATTCTAGTCCATAATCACCGACAACTTCTGCAACCCGGGGAATTGTCGTTACTGCTATCTCTCCACTACTGAAAAGGAATCAGGATGGGCGCCTGTGGTTCTCGGTTTTGGGCTGTCCTCATCGGAGAGTGATCCACCCACAGGACTATGAAGGTTCAGAAATCTTTGTGGTGATGGTATGAGAGAATCGATCCATAAAGTACAGCAGTAGAATTCTGACCAGTCCAAGAGGTGATTTGAACTGCCGGATTTCTATTTATCTTCAATGCAGTATGCTTTTTTTAACCATAAGTTATAGGATATCTGTGAAACACCCACAAACTACGTCTTTTGGAATATTCGTAAAGACGAAACCACATTTGTGCATAAATAGTGTGATCTGGCTAGCTTACTGTACTGTTCACCTTCTATTGAAGTCTATGGGGGGAGCTCAACTATTTATTGCCCATTCCGAATGAGATCAGTAGATGAGTGAATTCAACTTGCTCTTCCCAGTTTTGGTTCGGATTTTGTATTAATCAGAGTAATCAGTACATGCCGGAACTTACTGGTAATTGCTTCACTGTTCGCCTCTAGTTCTGCCATGTAGAGCTGTACTTCTTCCAACAGCTTGGATGGATCAGCCACGTCTGTTCCAACCTCTTCTTCGTCCTCTGATCCAGGTTCAGGTGGTTTTGTCCCAGTATCAAGTCTACTCATCAGTTTGTCCAATTCCGCCATCTTTTCTTCCAGTTGTTTATAACTGATCTGTTTGGCACATAGAGCCAATGAGAATGTCTTGATAACTATCCACAGTACAGATACACGCTATATGTGTTACGTTTTAATTTCACATTATACAGAAAATTCAGTTGGGTTACCCATTACCAAAATATGAGCACTTAGAGATTTTTTTCTGCTTGTTTTCCACGTGAATGTCTCATAGGAATATCAGTTATGAATGGTATGTACTGTCATGCCAAGAAGCGCTTTGAGGGACATATTCGGTTGCGAGAATCGGTAGATCCTCTGGCGATTGATCCAAACAAAGCAGTGACTCTCCAGAACGGCCTTATTATTGCTCGCCAGTTTATCTTCCCTGGTCACGTGGTTGTTGGACCATATGTCCTTAACTTTTCGCCACTGGATAGGAAGTACGGTAGCAGCAGCAGCATACATCGGTAAGAACACTCTCGAAGAAACTTGATCCGGATACACGGTGGGGCGTATTTCCATTCTTACTACATAACCACCGTGCTTTGACTTGCTCTGGCGCTGGTGTCGACATGCTTCAGTCAGGCTTTTTATTTCATTAGGAGTCAAAAGGTTGAAAAGTTAGGGCAAAAGAATTACATCCCAGATTCACCCTCACTCTTCACCACATTTAAATTCAAGAGATAACTATTGTTTTGCCCCTCCCCTTCTACCAAACTAGTGAAGGGGCCTAATCTTAAGATGCATGGTGGATGAATAATTCCAACATGTTCCAAAATGTACCGTGGCCCACTGTTGTCATTTCTGTTCTAATCAACTATCTGCAAAGTGCCAGCAAACTTGCCGAAGCCTATCAGAGCGAACATCCCGAGCACCGCAAAAGCGAGTGGCATATGCACCCAGCAATCTTGACTTTGTAAGCAAAATAGATTCGTACAGGAGTCACTGCTTATATGGCCAGCTGGTTACACGGCAAGATCACGTGACTCTCATGTACTGCATCCGCTTTTGGCCATAGATTGACTTAGTCCACGAAATTTTACTCGTAGATTTACATCTGGAGTGATTACGCCAGAACAGGAGTATGACCGTTCAAACGAGAGTGGCGTGA